TGAAAAGGACAGGTGAAGTCTCCTCTACGGGATTTGGAAATGTTGATATATCTCGATCTAGAAATGTCTAAATGTTTCAGTCAGGGAGGGCTGTGTTGTGCACGATCCTTCCGTAAAACTGTGATCCTGGAGCAGACTTGCGAAAAGAGAGGAAAACATGAGTGGATGTTAAAAAAATAAATATTCTTGACATGGCCGAACTTGGTAACATCATCAGTGCTAGAAAGGGAAGACGTGTGTGGGGAGGAGGAGGAGGAAGAGGGGGAGGGGGTGGGGGAAGGGGAGGAGTAGGAGTAGGAGGTGGAGGAAGGAAGGAGGGATGGAAGGAAAGAAGGAAGGAAGGAAGAAGAGGAAGGAAGGATGAGGAGGAAGGAAGGAAGGAGGGAGGGAGGGAAGGAAGGAAAGAAGGAAAGAAGAAAGAAAGGAAGAAGAGGAGGAGAAGGAAGGAAGGAAGAGGAGGAAGGAGAAGAGGAGGAGGAATGAATGAATGAAGAAGGAAGGAAGAGGAGGACGGAAGGAAGGAAGGAAGAAGGAAGAGGAGGAAGGAAGGAAGAGGAGGAGGACAAAGGAAGGAAGAAGGAAGGAAGGAAGGAAGAAGGAAGAGGAGGAAGGAAGGAAGGAAGGAAGGAAGGAAGGAAGGAAGAGGAGGAAGGAAGGAAGGAAGGAAGGAAGGAAGGAAGGAAGGAAGGAAGGAAGGACCATGACTGTGGGGTACTTGGTGCTTTTCCTTGCAGATGTTTCATTACCCAACTACATAACATCATCAGTGCTAGAAGGGAGTGAGGCTTGCTCTCCGTTTATCAAAGAACCACCAAGAACACTCCCACCAACACTGACAGGGCGAGCCTTGTATATAAACAGAGACCAAACCCCACTCCTTTCTAACACTGATGACGTTCCCTAGTTGGGTAATGAAACATCCGCAAGAAGACAAAACAGCTTTGAAGACTCCTCCTCCTCCGACTCCTCCTCCTCCTCCTCCTCCTCCACTCCACACACTCCACTCCCTTCTAGCACTGATGATGTTACCTAGCTGGGTCATGAAACATCTGCAAGAAAACAAGCTCAGAGAGCATCAATGACCCCACAGTCCATCTCCTCCTCCTCCTCCTCCTTCTCCTCCTTCCTGCAAACCCCCTCCCTTCTAGCACTGATGATGTTACCTAGCTGGGTTATGAAACATCTGCAAAAAAAAACCCCAACCAAGCTCAGAAAGCACCAAGGACTGAACAATTCAACTCTGCACTACAAATATTATCTTCTCTCGGCCTCCCGTCTCTGGTGTCTGTTGATTAAAACAGGAATTCGGGTTTCCTGGCTCCCCAGCTGGACTGGACAAACTCTGAGTCATCCAGGGCTACTCATTTTAATCTCCAACTCCTTGACCCTTTCAAGATGGACTCCCTTCTTCTCACATTACAAGCTCTAAATCCTGGCCGCTGCTCGCTCATCGGAGGAAGAAAGCAGATGATCCAGAGCGGCCCATCGCAGTAAGGATTTCCTGCTGTGCAGTCAAATCTCCCTAGTGGGTAGGTATATATATATATATATATATATATATATATATATATATATATATATATATATATTTCCTCGGACGCTGAAAATAAAACGGTTGAATGAGTTGTAACAAACAAGGAAAGATGCTTGAAATGAGGGATCCAGGCCAGCAGAAAGCAAGCTCTTCAGCCAGCCGTGTGCTGCAGCTGCCAAAAAAGCCAACACAGTGCTGGGCTGCATTAACAGAGGGATAGAATCAAGACCACGTGAAGTATTAATACCACTTTACAAGGCCTTGGTAAGGCTACACTTGGAATACTGCATCCAGTTTTGGTCACCACGATGTAAAAAAGATGTTGAGACTCTAGAAAGAGTGCAGAGAAGAGCAACAAAGATGATCAGGGGACTGGAGGCTAAAAGATAATAAGGAACGGTTACTGGAATTGGGTCTGTCTAGTTTAATGAAGAGAAGGACGAGGGGTGACATGATAGCAGTCTTCCAGTATCTCAGGGGCTGCCCCAAAGAAGAGGGAGTCAAGCTATTCTCCAAAGCGCCTGAAGGCAGGACAAGAATCAACGGATGGAAACTCATCAAGGAGAGAAGCAACCTAGAACTAAGGAGAAACTTCCCGACAGTGAGAACAATTAACCAGTGGAACAACCTGCCTCCAGAACTTGCGAATGCTCCAACATTGGAAGTTTTCAAAAAGAGACTGGACAGCCATTTGTCTGAAATGGTATAGGGCCGTGGTGGCGAACCTATGGCACGGGTGCCAGAGGCAGCACTCAGAGCCCTCTCTGTGGGCACACATGCCATTGCCCCAGTCTTAGGCCTTCAGCTGGGTTTTATAAAACCTTTTCGCTTTAGGCCTCCACTGCCGTGTGCAAAAAAAAAAAAAGGTCAATCAATCAGTCAATTTCAACTTCTCGCGGGAAAAAAAAAAGATCTTGCAAAGTTGGAATTGATTGATTGAACCTTTTAGTCCCACCCAGTCTGCCGTTACCACCGCAGCATGCCCACCCAATGGGCCACACACCCCAATTGGCTACACCCAGCCAATGAGCCACACCCACCCGGCACCCGACGATGCATAAGTGGGTTTTGGGTTGCAGTTTGGGCACTCGGTCTCTGAAAGGTTCGCCATCACTGATATAGGGTTTCCTGCCTGACCTCCAAGGTCCCTTCCAACTTTACTACTACTACTACTACTATCATCATCATCATCATCATCATTATTATATGATGATGATGATGATATGATAAAATCAGGGTTACAGCATGGAAGGTGTCCATCAGGGGCGTCCGATCGTGGCCATTTTAAGACCTCTGGACTTCAACCTCCAGAATTCCCCATCCAACAGGTCTTAAAAGTAGCCAAGGTTGGACACCCTTGGTCTATATCTTCTCCACTTGCAAGACAACCCCAAGAGTTCCAATTTGTATTTTTTTAGCAGTTCGGAGCAGTAATTACAGAGGCAAAGTGTTAAAACCGAGGCCAGAAAAACATTGCTGGAAAATTCACGAGAAGAGAGATCCTTGTTCTTAAGATTAATCCAAAATGTGGGTTTTGCCGGTCCAAATTCACTGGAACAAGAAGGTACTACAGTTTGGCGACCCAATGCATGATCAAATGCACCATCCTTTTTCCAAGGCCACTTTTGCCAGTTGCCAGCACGAGCAGCCCTCAATACTACTTGGCGATCCATACGTCGAATATTATGACTGTATTTAGATGACAGGCTTCACTGCAGTAATCAATAAACCGACATTCTGGGCTTGCACAATCATCGTATCATAAAACCATCCCATCTGTAAGGAGAGATGACCTCAATGGATATTTGCAAGAGCCATTCCCTAGACCAGTGTGTTTCCCAGTGTGGGAACTTTAAGAGGGAGCGAGTTCAAGTCCCAGAATTACCTAGCCAGCATGCGTTAAGAGGGGTGGACTTCAATTCCCAGAATTCCCCAGCCAGCATGCTTTAAGAGGGGTGGACTTCGACTCCCAGAATTCCTCAGCCAGGATGCTTTGAGAGGGGTGGACTTCAACTCCCAGAATTCCCCAGCCAGGATGCTTTAAGAGGGGTGGACTTCAACTCCCAGAATTCCCCAGCCAGCATGCTTTAAGAGGGGAGGACTTTGATTCCCAGAATTCCCCAGCCAGGATGCTTTGAGAGGGGTGGACTTCAACTCCCAGAATTCCCCAGCCAGCATGCTTTAAGAGGAGTGGACTTTAACTCCCAGAATTCCCCAGCCAGCATGCTTTAAGAGGCGTGGACTCCCGGGGTCCTGTGATCCCCTCTTGACCGCCTTCTGACACGCAAAGTCGACGGGCAAGGCAGACTCGCGCACAACGACCGTGTTCCTAACTTAAAAACTGCGGCGATTCACTTAACAACGGTTGGCAAGATAGCTCCTAAAAGGGGGCACGGGTCACTTAACAGCCTCACGTAGCCACAGAAACGTCCGTGGTTTAAGTCAAGGGCTACGGGCCTAAAAATGACCCGTCTGTTTATCCTTTTTCTCTAGAAATAATCAAGGCCGACTCGCTCTCTGATCTCCCTGGCCTGTGTCTCCATGTAAGGATGTGGGTTTGTGTTATTTTGCGGGGGAAACACCAGGAACAAACAAGGGGAAGTGATGAAGAATTGCACAGGGATAAGGGGGGGGGGGGAAACACATCTTTTATTTTTTATTTTTAAGCCCGCGGAATAAGGAAACAACTTTACAACGGTGACCTCATAGATCAGCAAGCGAGGTCAAGTCGCCTTCCAACCGTCCTCTCGTCTTTTTTTTTCCTCTCTCTCTCTTTTTATTTTCCAGCTCTTCCAACCCCAGATCCAGAGGGAATCTGGCCCGCGTGGTTTTTCCCGACAAACACGTCTTCTTTCCAAAGCAGGAGCTTTCGTGAGAAGCTCACACACGCACACACAGACACAGACACACAGACAAAAGCTTCTGCTTTTGAGCAAAGACGCGTTCGTCCCGGACCGACTGCCACCAAATTCCCAACTTTCCGCCATCCCGGATCCACTCAACTCGCCCTGCAGAAAAAAAAAAAACCCCACTTCCAAACATCCCTCGGTCAGTAAGTAGCAGGGCGAGCAGCTGGAAGAGCCGGGAAACGGATGTTGGAGAAGGTTGCAGAAGTAACATCTGGAGCTGAGTTTCCAGGCCGTCTTTTCAAAGGGAGCCCCCCCCCAATCCAGTGGGGCTGGCCCTCTTCCCGTCCTTGCTCTTCCAGCTCCAGCTAGGCACCCTGGAACAGGTGATGGTCCGCCTGAGGTCCGAGCGGAGTCTGTGGCTGGGCTGCGTGGTCCCTCCGTTGCAGACCCGATCCCTGGCTGCAATCGACAGAATCTTTCTCCTCCGAGCCCGGACCCCTTTTGTACCCGTCAGGTTCCGTGACCCCCAACTGTCCCAGTCAGGGAGACAAAATCCGGTGGTCCAAGGCACGGATCTCCCTTTGGCTGGCCTTCTCCGACAGACAGGTGTCCAGGCCTCACCGCCGCAGCATCCTCACCTGGTTCCCGCCTCTGGCTTTCAGACAGCTGCCACCAGCGAGCTCCCTCCGGCTGCCCTAGAGTAGACGGAACAGGAGAAAAG